GGARGTGTCCCTGCCATGGCAGGGGTGGCACTGGATCAGCTTYRAGGTCCCTCCCCACCCAAACCACCCCAYGGTTCTGCAATATTTAGCCCCCCACCACCCTGCAGAGGTGGAAGCCCATGCACAGCTTGCYCAGCTGCTCCCATGAAATCCCCAATCCCCCAGATCCATGTTCTGCTCAGCTGTGCCAAAGGAAGAAAACCTCAGCTGGCCCAGCTCCAAAATGAAKCCTCTCCTCCCTGAATGTTACAGTAGTTAAACCAAACTATGAAATCCCTGGAACATTCAAGTGTTTTCCATCACCTGAAGCAGTATTTTTGTTTCAGCAGGAAAGTCAGGTTTTGTTTGCATTTGCTGATAAATCAAAGCCCCCAAGTGGGCAGTGCTTGCACCCACTGGGGAGGAGCAGCTCCCTCCTCCATCCACCAAAGCTCCATCAGCACCAAGGAAAGGTCTCAGGACACAGTCAGCAAAGATCTAATTGTCACTAATTTGCATTATTTACCAGCCTGAGCTCCCAGCAGAGCTCGGTGTGGTCCTGCAGCAGCACTCACGACACGACCGTGATGGAGCAGCCAGGGCAGGAGCAGGATGGGAGCTCCAAGGCCATGGTGGGCAGTGCACAGACTGGCTGGTTTGTGTTTTGGGGCTCTCTGTGCTCAGTAGAAAGCCCAGGCAGAAGCACCCAGGCCAAGCCAAGCCCCGCCATGCGCAGCAGCCAGGACCCAACGCTTCCCTSGTGGATCTCAAGGCCAAGGCTCAGAACAAACCAGTTTTGTTCAGGGAAGCATTCCCAGGTAAAACCCTTGTCCATGGAATGCTTGCTGCTCTCCAAGCCCCTTGGAAGCGCCGTTGCCTTGGGAAGCAGGGGCAGAGCAGCTGGGCCAGCCAGGGAGTGGGAGATGCACCAAACCCAGCACTGAGCTTTGGGATTTGGGTCAGAACCAGCTCAGCCAGGCCCAGACTGCTCAGAGCCAACACAGAATTCCCCCATCAGCCACAACATTCCCTAGGGATGTGACAACAGAATGATCACACTGCTGGCACAGCAGCATCGATATCACATTGATACCCATCCACCTCTCTGCTGGCCAGGGAGCAACTCCTGAAAACACATTTAAGTCAGGAAAAGCAGATCTGGTTCCTCTTTATATCCCTTTTAACAGTAGGAGCGACATTTCATTTTGTGAAGAGCCTTCCAAACACAGAACTGGAACAGTTTCGTGCATCTAGAGCAGACAGAAGGAAATCTTCCACCTTCTCCTTCCCTTCTTTCCTTCATTTGGCATCTCCAGCCTGGAAATCGTTTGTGGTACCCCCGTCTCACCAGGGTGGGGCTGGGCTTGCTGTCCCCACTGCCACCAGAATTCCCTGTCCCACCCAGCCCTCACCACTCACTGGCACGTGCACTTCCAATAAATCAGAGTCAGCAGCTGCTGTCTCAAGAGAAAATGTGATTTCAAAGCAGAGATCTCTAAGGCATTGAGATGGCAGTGCACAGTGCTGGCATCTCTTACTGCAGCCCCAGCTGACTCTGGGGATTATTTCCCCCAGTAAGAGAGRCCCCATTGCAATGGCTCATGGGCTGGATGTTTGAGTGGCCAGAAAGGCTCCCACAGAGCTTTCTGTGCCCAGCCAGGGTGAGAAGATGTCCTGGGGTGGCCCTCCAGGGCCATCTTGTCACCCCCAGGATGAGATGGGATGAGATGGAGCTTTAGGCAGCCAGCCTGGGCCGGGGTGACGAGTGGCAGGGGTCTGCATGCTGACTCACATGTACTAGTTCACCTGGGTTGGAGAGCCGTTGTGGCTTCAGTCTGCAGGCCAGTCCCACTTGCATTATCTAAATCAGTTTGCAAACGGATAATTTAATGAAGGATACTTAAGGTTTATCCCAGGGACTGAGCTAGACAAGAAGAATTCTAAAGCAGACCGACTGCCCGAGGTCTGCACCTCATTTACACCCCAGAACAACCCCAGGCCCTCCCCCATTGATCATTTTACCTGACCAAGAGTCGAGAGCAGAGTTTATCATGGTGAAGCATTAAAAGCTCCTTCTGCAAAAGGCAGAGCCCTCCAGCAGACCCATCCAGGTCAGTCTGCCTAAGCCTTGCCTAAGCATGAAAAAATCCACATCCAAAGAGGTGACAGGCAMGGGTGAGCAGGGACAGGCACTCACCTTGTAGGCAATGCTGTTGAGAACCTTCATGGCCAAATCAGACACGTCAGGATAGGGGTCAGCAGCCAGGTGGAGCAGCACCCTCCAGATTTGGGTATAAACACTGTTGAAACTCACACCTAAAACAACAAAAAACACAACAAACCCCAAAGCCCTGCAGCACATGACAATCCATCAACTCCAATTCTTTGATCTGACGTGAGAAAATTCATTAGAACTCCAAATAACCCGATGACATCTCACAGAACATCAAGAGAGGAGCTGAAAAACACCCCACGTGGGCATTCTGTCTCCCTTGTGCCTCTCTGTGAACTCTGCAAGRGCTTGTGAAAAATCAGAGTGGGAGGAAGCAAAATAAATGAAAGTCTCCCTAAATCATCTCCAGTCAAACTCCTGCTTTTCCAGTTCCTGAAGCAAATCACCTGGAAAGGCCAAGTGGATAATGTCTGGGTTTCCTGAGTTGAAATATTTAATGGTGTAAACTCACAGTTAATGCCTCATATTGCTATGGTTATTTCTGAATTATATATTATTGAATATTATTGTATATTATTGAATTGTTCAGGGGTTTGCACACTCTACAAGTTYACTAAATATTTAGAGCAAAGCTTTAGGAGCTGAGCCTTTGGGAAGAACGAGTCCAACTCAGTCTTTCCTACTGACTTTTGTGTCAATTCTTCCAATTTGTGATTTAATGAGCGTATCAGCTGTTCGGCATTTCAGCAGAAGGGACCGACAGATTCAAAGTACAAATCAAATTAATAAGCACTTGAAACAAGTGACAAAAATCCTGTGAACATTTTATTTTGCTGCTTTTGGGCGACAATTTGTTATTGTGCCTCGGAACCCTGCCGGTGTCTGATCGTGCAACGCCCCGGCTGGGAGCGCAGCCATTTGGACAATGTTAAAGTGGCTGCACTAACAAAATAAAAAAAAAAAAGCTAAAAGAGAGATTGCAGATGAGTCACAATCAGTGGTAAATGACAGATCAAGCTGTTATTGCTTTTCCTCTCGTGTTTTTGGAGGCATCTAAATATAAATTGGGGAGGGGAGGGCTCCAAGCAGCTCCTCACCTGGCAGAGCTGAGGCTGATCCCTCAAGCAGCTGAGAAGATTGGGATAGAGCAGCTCTGAGCACGGGGTGAGGGCAGAAACAGCCTCCAGGAGCCCCTTGGGACACCCATCTGAGAGGGGAACCCTCCCCTGCCCCAGGATTGGGAGCAAACACCCTGCAAAGGGTCACGGAGCACCCATCACCCAACTCATCCTCCCACTGCCCTGCCAAGGGGCTCTCTCTGCCCTGGCACCCAAAGGATGTTCCAGTGACAGCTGCCTCAATTCCCACCTGGAAATCTCACAGAGTTTATGGAGGGATCMCTGGGACTGTGCTGTTCGTGTGCAGCTGATCCCAACCTTCCCAAGGCAGGTCAGGGACAGAGCCTCACAAATCAGGGAATCCCACAATGGTTTGGGTTGGGGGGGACATTAAAGCTCATCCATTCCTCCCCTGCCATGGGCAGGAACATTTCCCACTCTCCCAGGTAATTCCAGCTGGGCTCTGGACACTCCCAGGGATCAGGAGCAGTTTCTCTGGGTATGGATGGATTTCTCCCCACCCTCCCAGGGAACAATTCCTCCCCAATATCCCATCCATCCCTGCCCCCTGGCACTCCAGACCCTTGAGCAAACTCCCCCTCCAGCTCTCTGGGAGCCCCTTTAGGCACTGGCAAGGCTGTAAAACCAAAAAAAACCAAACCTGCAACAACGGGAACTGTTATAAGGCTGTAAATTGTAAAGGCTGTAAACATATATTTATGTAATATTGTATAATATTTATATAATACTGTAAAATCGCAAAGGCTGTAAATATAYAACAATGTTAAATCCTGGAAGCTTCTATTACCAGAGAAAGGAAAACTGGAGGGGGGAAGGATGAASAAAAAGAAGGGAGAGAGGCAAAGTGCTACAAGGAGTGGGAGGAAAAAGGCTCAGCTCGGGAAGCAGCAGCCAGGTAATGTCTGAGGTGTGCCCAGAGCTGTGCCCAGAGCTCTGCCTCCCACACTCCAGCCTGTTACATAAGGACCGGGGGGAAATCTGCATGCCTTCAATTCTTTAAAGCCCTTGAAGGAGAGTAAAAGGAAAAGGAGAGGAGGAAGAGTGAGGGGGGCACCCAGCAGCTTCCCCTGGGGCTCTGATAACCACCTCGCTCACGGAGAAACAAACCCAACAACATCTTTTATACATCTGAAGTGTCAGGGAAAAACCAAGTTTTAAGCAGAACTGTGCCAGTGCAATTCCCCCTTCAGCTGGCAGCCTTTGAGGAGAACACAGGGAATTTCTGCAAAGGCACCCAGGGCTTGGGGCTGCCACCACTCCCCTGCCAGTGCCAGCCATGCAGGAGTGACACTGTGACATTGTGACACTGTGACACCCCGAGTTCCAGGGTCAGGGCAGCAGAGCTGGCAGCAGGAACAGCAGCCTGAGTGCACATTTAGGGCTCTAGGGCACAGACTGGAGGGGCAAAACAGGAGCTGAGCAGGGCTGGGTGCTGCTGGAAGCTGCCATCAGTCACACTGACTCCAGGCCAGGAGCTGAGCAGCTCCAGCTCGGTGTCTCAGAGAATTCAAACACTGACAGAGCAGTTTTGGGGCTCAGAGCAAACACTGACAGAGCAGTTTTGGGGCTCCCTGCCCAACTCTCCCCATTCCCCACACCTCCCTGTCCACCCCAGCTCTGCTCCCCTCATCCTCACTGCCACAACCTCCTTTGCTCACTGGTACTTCCARGCAGATCCTGGGAAATGGCAAATGGTTCTCCACCCCCAGCCTCTCCTGCTGCAAAACACAGCCATTCCCCAGCATCTCATCGCTCCAAGATTTATTTTCCTCMTTCTTTGATCACTCCTTAAGATAATCTTTCCAGCCAAGCTCTCTGTAGGACAAAGGCTTTCATCGTGCAGTTTGGATGTGAATAATCAGCCTCGAGGTATGCAAACCCCCATCTTAACTCCATCYCTTTTCCCATCTTAAAACTGAACATTTCCAGGACACCAAGATTAATGAGTGGCTGTATGGAAAAGCAGCAAGGCTCAGCTTCCCTTCCAAAATGATGTCTTTGTTGACTAACCMCAAACTGCCTCTTGCCAGCTGGAAAACTGGGCCAGAAATAAATGTCTCTCCTGGTATTGGCCTGTCTGGCCAAGGAGCAGCTGCCAGAGAACACAGACTCAGCTGAGAGAGTGAGTTCTGCATTTGGGGAGCAACAATGGGGACATTTGGCCCCCAGTTAGATAAGGAACTGTTTGTAAAATGGGACGAGGAGGGATGGAGAGGTTTTGCTCAAGTTTTTGGGAAGCAGTACATTGTATGATGCCTCAGTGGCAGTGTAGAGACTGATCCAGAACAATCCCTTAMACCCTGTGTTCCTAAAGTGCCAGAGAGGAAAAAAACCTGAGAATCAGTAGGTTTTGGGTGCCCCTGCCCTGGCAGTGCCCAAGGCCAGGCTGGACACTGGGGACCCTGGGACAGTGGGAGCTGTCCCTGCCATGGCAGGGGTGGCACTGGATCACCCTTACAGCCCCTCCCAACCCAAACCCAAACCCAAACCCCAAACCCAAACCCCAAACCCAAACCATTGTGGGATTCTGGGATCAGTCAATCAGCTTAGGGAATGCAGAGCACAGAACACAAACTGGAGCTGAAAAATTCTACTTTCACTCTTACAGATTTCTGCTTCACTCAGAGTCTCCTCATGTGCCCAAAACATGCTTTTCCCTGCTCTGGCTGTCTCAGACACCTGGCAGAGGTGTTACTGCAGAGCAAAGCCCATCTCCTGTTTCAGAAACACTCCTTGGGTCAGTCCCTGTCCCAGGGGGTCCCAGCAGCAGCCCTGGCACATCAGGACACTGAGGAATGGGGTTAAATCGGGCTGCAGAGCTCAGGGGGTGGCTGGGCTGCTGGCATCACTCCTTGGGGAGCAGGAGATGGGGCTGGAGGGTGCTGATGCTTCACAAGGAATGAGAAAAGCCTGGCTTGCAGCAGGCAATGGGAAGGTAATGGGATTCTGTGCGAGTCATGAATTTTAAACACTTGYCTAAGCTCTGCATTTCCAGCTGGGTCTGAGCTCTTTGATGGAACAGGAATGAGGGAACCTTGGAGAGCTGCTCTTTCTCTCTCCAAGGCTCCCCTCAGCACCTGCAGCTCCTCTCCAGAGCCTTTTCCAGCTGCTCTGCACAGCCCTTGTGAGSCACACTCCAGCCATCAAGCACACACCAGGGGCAGGGGCAAAACTCAAGTCCTAACTCAAGATGGAGAGAAATTTCATAACATCCCTGCCATGCTTCAGAAGATCCAATGTCATTACTGATAATCAAAAGCAAATTAACTGATCAAGTTCCTAATGAACTCATGATTTTAAACTGCCACAGGGGCTCAGTAATTACAACCCCTGAATCTTTCAGCTCAGGAGAGCCAAATCACCATTAATTCTCTTAGAAAAAGGCAGAGAAAATGTTCCTCTGGTCAAGGCAGTTCCATCACCCAGGTGATTCCTCCCTGAGTTACACCACTCTCTTTGATTTGTGAAAATGTGGGTTCATTTACTGATTACAAAGGAAATACAGAGCCTTTCCCTGGAAGGAGGCCGTTCCAAAAGCCAGGTCCTTCTGTACGGGGCCTGTGATATTGTGCCAGAACGGCTCAGACTGTGTGAAAAGCTACAGGTATTTGARAGCAAAGCTGCTGTGGCACCCCACRTTTTTGTGCTTGAATTCCTCACAGGACTGTGGAGAAGCTTGGAGTTGGAGTCATCCCTCCAGCCCAGTGACCCAGCCACATTCCTGCTGTGGGGAGCACAATCCCAACCCTTTCACARGAAATAGGGGATCCCAGGGAGGGCCTGTGCTCACCGATCAGGGAGTTGAGAGAGGAGTAGGAGCTGACTCTTCTCATCTTGTCGATGGTCTCGAAGGACAGGATGTACTCCTCGTTCTCRGGGCTGCCCAGGGTGCTGCTGGCACTGCTGCTCGTGCTCAGGTTCCCCGGGGAAAATGCCACAGAGCTCCCAGCTGCCAGGAYACAACAGAATGAACCATTTCCACCCAGACACAACAGCCCTTTCCTAAAAATCCTGCCACACTCTGGGAAGGAAACCCCTCACCCAGGGGCAAAGCCATTTTAACACTGAATGATTACATGCAGAATAAGCAAAAGATTGAGTTAAAAATCCACTTATGCTTGGAAGCTGGAAGGCACATTTTTGGTCCCCAAACACTCAGAAAAATCAATCCTAATGACCAGAAAATTGAAACTAATTATGAGGGGGCTGCTCATGGAGGGAGGTGGATGATTTGGGGTGAAGTGCCAGCTCCAGCCTGAGCCCCCGTGCACACCAGAGGAATGGAAAATGGAAGAACTGCAAAGTGCTGCTTACTCTCCTCGTTGAGGCTGAGGTTCTGCAGGGATTTGTTGAGGTTCCTGGCRGTGGTGACAGCACGGATGTTGCCGTAGGAGCTGACGGAGCGCAGGCGTGGGGTGCAGGGTCCATCCCGCACCGGGGTCAGGCTGCCACCCTCTGCGAGGCAAGAGGCAGAGATTATGGCTGCAAGCAAAGCACTGGGTTACTGCCCAGAACGGGGCATTGAAACAGCACAATGTGTACAGAACTGCTGTAGGGCTGTGGGGAATGGGGAATGGGGTACAGAATCAGAGCAGGGAATGGGGCACGGCAGTGGAGCAGGGAATGGGGTATGGCAGAGGAACAGGGAATGGGGTATGGCAGTGGAACAGGGAATGGGGTAGGCAGAGGAGCAGGGAATGAGGTACAGAATCAGAGCAGGGAATGGGGTACAGAATCGGAGCAGGGAATGGGGTACAGAATCAGAGCAGGGAATGGGGTACAGAATCAGAGCAGGGAATGGGGTACAGAATCAGAGCAGGGAATGGGATACAGAATCGGAGCAGGGAATGGGGTACAGAATCAGAGCAGGGAATGGGGTATGGCAGCACAGCCAGCACGGACCCCGTGTCTCTGCTGTCCAGGGTGAGGTTTTGGGACACCCAAAGGGCCCTAAAGGCTCGTCTCTGCCCAGCCCCTGTGCCAGGACAGACTGAGGCAGCACTGACCAGCTCCTCTCTGCTGCTGCTCATTAAACTCACCCTGGATTTCGTCATTATCAGGAATTATGAAAATTCCYGACCGAATTTCAGGCCTGGTTTCAACTCCCATTTCACAGTGAGCACACAGAGTTCCAGACCCTGAGAAGAGCTGCTCTGTTTCTCTGCAGAGTGGCTGCACTGTGCTGGGGGGTCAATGCTTCCAGAGCATCCCACTTCAGGACTCTTTAGGAGAAAAGCACAATAGGAACTGCAGGCAGTGTTTATTTCCTGCAGAGAATGGGGAGGAGCTCATTTGGCAGCATGATTTAGTTACTGAGAGAACAGGCACAGAGACAGCACATGGTCCTGTCTCCCAGCTCCTGTTCCAACTTCACCCTTCACCATCCCACTGCAGTTTAAATCTAAAGGAAAGGCAAGGTAATGACAGCTTCACGGGGACATTTCATTCCTCACAYAAAGCCACAGACACAACAAAAGGGATGGGGCCACAGGCTCAGAGCACAGAGCTCTTGTCTTCCTTGCCTGGCTCTCAGAGCAGRGCTGGCTCGTGGTGTGCTGGAGCTCTCAGGTCAGTGTGACACTGAACATTCAGGTGGGATTTGGGGTGGAGAGGGAAGAAAATAAGCTGTATGCTGCCTTGGCCAAAATCCTTCAGCCCTGAGCTGAACCAGGAGGTTCCTGGTGAGCTACAGCCATGGTTAGGTAGTCTCAGTAGAGGATGGATCTCACAGGGCTGAATAGACAGCAGATCTTCCCTCCCTGTCACTCACCATGTCACAATGGGGCTCTTTGATAAATCCCACTGGTGAGAAACTCACTGTGCTGGGAAAACTCCTTAAGTAATTCCCAAACACTTCCAGGCCCTGCACCTCCATCCCACCAGCCCCAGACCCCCACCTGGAGCAGCTGGAGAGGGCAGAGGGTAATTCTTCTCCTCCTCGATGAACTGCAAGGCCACAGTGCAGAAATTGCTCTCGTACTGGACCACCAGGTGACTCAGGGCCACCACCAGCTCCTGGGAAGGGCACAGGAAACATCCCATGGTTACACAGGTGAGRAACAAGACAAACACAGAGCAGGGTGTTGGTGGTCACCCAGGGTGATAAATCCACCTTAATTCACAGGGGTGAACTGCAGAAAGGCAGAGACTCTGTCCCACAGCTCGTTCTTCACAAATCTTTCCTACATGGACAGGCTCCCACCCATTTCTGAGCACCTCCACCTTCCTGGGGTGGAACAAGATGAGTTTTAAGGTCCTTTCCACCCCAAACCACGCTGGTATCCAGTGGCTGGTTCTGCCCAGTGTTACCAAAGTGCTGCAGGGTCACACACAGCCCTGCCCTGCCACAGCCCCCAGGATGAGGGGRCACCCAGAGCAGGAGCTGTGCCAGGGCTGGGGGCACAGCCAGACCCTGCCAGCACTGCCCAGCTCCACCAGAGCTCACTCAGCYCCTCTGGAGGCAGCTCCTGCCCTCCCTGGGGAGCAGCAGCCACGAACCAGAGCTGCTTTTGGTGCTGCCTCTGCTCGGGCACTGCTCTCCAAGCAGAGATTTATGAATCTCACCGAGCRTGCAGTGTGACACGCAGCCCTCTCCTGAATTAAACTGATTAAATGCTGGAAGGAGACAACAGGAATGAATCTTTGCAGTGCTGGTGACAACTGCCAGGGTGTTGATGTTCCAGTAAAGTAAACACAAGCATTAGGACACTTCAGAACAGCCCTCCAAAGCAATCCAGAATGTCAAAAACCATTCAATGCACTATTGATGTACGATGGTGCAGCACAGAGTGGAACTCTCCTGGGCCTGGAGAGCTGTTCTGGAGCAGTCTGGGGGTTCCAAAGGCAGGGAGGGAGTGTTTGTCACTTTGTCACTGAGCAGAGCTGTCCCATTGTCTCCTGAACACAGCCCCAGCCCTCCATACCTTCCTGACCATGGGGCTGCCATCGTTGATGAGCTGGGCCAGCATCATGGCCACGTTGTGGTCGATGGTGGTGGAGTGGTCTGTTCTCTCTGCTGAGTTGCCCACAAAGGTGCCCAGAGCAAAGACAGCAGCACAACGAACCTGGGGGACACAGACAGCCCTGGGTGACCCCACTGCTGCTGGGGGATTTCATTCATCCCCCAAATGGGAACAATGGAAACCCCAAATCCTGTGCCACACCCCCAGCAGCCTCAGCAAACTGAGCTTGAAGGATTCACAGATGCAGGAAATGTTTAATTTCCCAGAATATTCAGTGACCTTCCCTTGGGGGACTCTTCCAGTTGGTGTTGCCTTGAAT